CAAGAAGAAGTATGAAAAGAAGAACATTGAACATAAATGTTGTGGTTGGGGTGCAACTGAGTCCCATTCATCCTGGCTTGCTGTAGCTGAGGTGCAGTAGGCGCGCAGCTGAGCGCCAAACTCTCTAGAATGTTGCAGCTAGCGTGCAGTTGAGCGCCTGCTCTCTAGAATGCTGTCATTGGGGTGCAGCTGAGCGGTGGCGATGCTGATGTGACAAATTTGGTCTATTTAGGGCTGAAACTCGAAGGGATTTGGATCTTTTGATGCCCAAACACAATTTCTCTCATTTGGGGCTCTTGGAGGCGAGCTAGGAGTTGTGGGAACAATCCTTCTTCACCCTTGGGTCTTCTTCCTTCTTTCATTTCCACCATTGTTGTAAGCTTGAGCTTTCCATTCATGGAGGGCTAGTTTCATTGTTGTTTGGGGATTGATGTAGCCACTGAACTCTTATGTAAACTATTGTGCTTTGAATGAATATATGGCTCTTTGATTGATTGTTAGTGTTTAATTCCTTTTCTTAATGCTTGTTGTGAAGTTGCTACCCATGACATGATTTTAAGGTTTGCTTGATTTTGGGAAATGTTGGGTAAATATGGACTTGGATTAAACACCTAAAGGAAATAGTATCTAGGGATAGAGCTAGGACCTTTGGATGTCTTAAATCTCAATTCTTAATGCGGAAATAATTATTAGGTTTTCCAAGGGATTGAAGCCTTATAAGGAAGTCTAGGCTCTCTCTACCAAGGGATTGAGTTTGAGTAATTTAGAAGATTGACATTAGCATATTAATGAAGAGGAAATGATTTTTATACATAAGAGTGAAGTAGGTGAAATCATAACCCCAACAATATCATTCCATATCATTTCTAATCTTTCCATTTCCAAGTGTTTGAGTATTTAAGATCACTTTTATCATTTATGTTTCATGTTTACTTTAATTGCACTAAAACCCAAATTATGAAAGCATTCTTTAGTCTAAAGTAGTTAGAAATTATACGATTGTTTGGTGACACGAGTCTCTTGAGAAACGATATCCGGTCTTACCAGTTTTATTACTTGAATGATTCGGTACAGTTGCCGAAGTCTCAACAACTATTTAAAGAACCAAAGCTTGTAATTGTGCAAAAGTTTCAAAAAGGCCACCGCATTTTGAAAGACTTCATTTTTCTTGAAACCGAAGCCTATTAGGCGATTTTGTAAGTGTTTTTTTACATTAGTGATATTATGGAACTTAGGTGAATGTGTAGAAGATGTGAAACAATCCAGATACCATATGATACGCTATGGTGCCAAATGATACGATCCTATCCAAGAAAGAGTACGATTGATCTAAATCAGAATCCTCAAAAGGCACAAACAAAAAATAAATTAGAGAAGAACGCAAACTAAGGCAGAGATGACTAAGCCACCATCTAGAAGTTTGATAAGTCAAGGAAGATTCACCACAAAGATTTCCATCTTTGATAAGAACCAGAGTTGGAGGTGCCATAATCTAACAAATTGACAAGTCAAGGAAGATTCACGTTAAAGAAATTCATCTTTGATAACAATCAAAGTTCTAATCTAATAACCAAGAGAACCCTCTCTCAATGAAAACACAATTTTCATATAATGATTATCTAATGTATCTACGTATGTATTTGGTTTCCCTATATATACCCTCAAAATTTTAATAAACCTAAGAAACCCTCAAAGAAAGTTTAATCCTATCTAGGAAAGAGTACGATTGTTCTGAATTTGAATCTTCAAGAGGCACAAAGAAAAAATAAATAAAAAAGAACACAAAATAAGACAAAAATAAAGACGTCACATAGTCTAACATATTGATAAGTCAATGAATATTCACAACAAAGATTGTCATCTTAGGTAAGAACTAGTGTTGAAGATGTCACAATCTAAGAGACTGATAAGTTAAGGAAAATTCATCACAAAGAAATCCATCTTTGATAAAAATCAAAGTTATAATCCAAGAGCAAAGATAAATCTCTCTCAATGAAAAACTATTTTTTGTATAATGATCATCCAATGTGCTTACATATGTATTTGGTGCCCCTATATAAATGTTTAAGCCACCTAAAAAATCCTAAAAGAAAGCCTAAAGACATTGAGTCCAAAACTAATTTGAATATTTAAAAGCAGAAACTAATTGTTTAAAAATTACAAATACTTTTAATTGCTTAAACTATTCTATAATTGTTCTTCAACTCATAATCTTCATGTCCTTTGAATTCCAATTTTCATGGACCATCACAGGCCTTAAGGATATTTGTTTTTATAAGTGTTTGCTCCTTGATCTTATTATAGGTGCTTTGAATTACACTGGTTCTTCCTCAAGTTCTTCTTCCATAGGATCAAGAGATAATTCTCTATCAAGATGTTTCTTAGTTATCATTAAGGGTTTTTTTTTTTCTCTAGTTGAATCCAAGAGTTTTCTTATAGATGTGATATGATGTACTTATTAGATGTAAACTTAATAAGTGGTTACACTCTTCTAAACTCAAATTTGATTTCTACATTAGGCGTTACTTTCTTTTCCAACTAAAAAGAGTCACATTTATCTATTCCAAATACATATTTAGAAATCCATTTTAAATATAAATACCTAGGTTGGCTATTTCAATTTAGGTTACTCTTATTTTAGAAACCAAACTAGTTATGTTAACTTATGTCTCTTTTTTAAATATTTTTATGTGAAAGGCTTGTTTCTTTATTCTTTATTTTTTATTATTTGAATTATATTATTGAAGAATGTTCTTTGAACTCTTATTTATTTAAAAAACTATTATTTTTAATATTCTATAAAAAAAATACACAAATTACATACAAATCATTTTTGCAACATGGAAAACTAATTTTGAGTTACCTATAAGTCGCCACGTGTACATAGATATTATAGGAAAATAGCAATACATATATAACTAACTTCTTTTACTTCCTCTTAATAACTAAGATTGATATATCTAAGTACTTGAATAATTAACAATTACTTAGACAATTATTATATCACAAACAATATTGATCTCTAAACTAATGAAATTAGAGAAGACTGAAAGAAATTTGTAAACCTCTATTATCCTACGTTACATTTATTCTATAATTGTCCTTCTTTGCCAAGTTTTTCAAAAAGAGAATAGAAATAAAATAATTAAATAATATAAGTAAAGAATAAGAAAACAAAATAAGACAATGGCAATGCATATTCATTTATTTATAAGCATGTTTTTTCAGAGTCATGCTTCTCCTATCATCGTCTCTTATATTTCTTCATCATTTTTCACCATTTTCAAAATCTAATTGCACCATGTTGGAATTGAAAAGTTAAGGAGCATTTTGAACCGATCATATTTTAAAATGGTGTAAGTTTCTATATTTTTCTTAAAATCCTTCGATTCAGAAGTAGGGACAATTGAGAGAAGTGATCCTCTCACCTTAATATACCTTATATTGTTTTTTAGTTATGTTTTAGTATTTTGTAAGATGTCTCTAATTGGGAATAGTTCAATGTATTGAGTCGTGGAACTTTAACTTTGGATAAGCTTTAACCTATGGTCCTAGATGATCCTTTTCGACCTTTGGTCTGACCTTGCCCGTCTTAACCTTGAGTAAGAGATGGTTTGTTTCAACTTTTAACTTAGACTAAATTTGTTGTATTTAAAATTAATTAAAGTCTTGTAGTAAGATTAAATGCACCTTGGTCCTAACCCTAATTCCCTTTGAGAAGGGGTTTTGAAGACGGAAAATTTTCTTTTACCCCTTTATTTGATGACTCCCTAAAAAAACTTATTTAATGATGAGTTAAATGAGTCTATAAACCAAGAGTCAAATTTACACTTTGTTCATAAAAAACTACTTAATTTATATAATGATAAAAAAATGTAATGAATTGACAAATCATCCTAGTGTGATTATTGTTGAGTTGAGTACTTACTATTACGTCAAACACTCATAAATTTTTACAATTCATAAATATTTACAATTCAATAAAAATTTATACTTAGTCTTATTTAAAGTATTACTCTGACTTGTAAATAGATGTATGTGAAATATTATTAGTGTTTCGAAAATAAAGATAATTTATTGGTGTATCAAATAATACTTTATGATGTGGTAATGAGTTATTATAGAAAAACTTATTTTTCCTAATGTTATATCAATTTCAATAATTAAAATGTGTTTTTTTTTTAAAAAAAAAAACTTACGCTACCAGTAGGAGTTGGAGTTTATACCCAACTTTTACAACTCGTACCTCAAATTTAATTTTAACGATTGAAATCTGTTTTTGTGGTATTAGGCACATAACAATTTTGTTGGCCATAATGATATAATAAGGCACTTCATATAGCATTTGTGGAGATACTTTGGGCAGGCTCACGTTAACTACTAGTTACTTTTCCACAATCTATGTCATATACGCATTCAAAAAATATTATTCATTTTTTATACTCACTAACTGTTATATCACATTGTTTGTGGCAGTCATCTTCATTGCCAGAAGCAACCACTATTAAAATCCTCTCTAACTCATAAGTCTTAATAAAACTTATTCGTTTGATTAAATATCAGTAGACGCATGAATTCGGAGTATTATTTAAGATATTAAATATAACTAATATCTAAATTCTAAATTTTTAAAATTTTGCAGGGCTCCTAACATTTGTATATGATTATAAAGATTGGAATTGATTTTTTTTAACGTGTGGATTTGATTGGTTTTTGCATGATGAGAAAGGAATAGGTTGAAGAATCAGGTCATAAAAGTATATATGAAGTTATCAACCGACTAATTCTTGTGTGCTTTTACAAAAGGACATCGCTGAAGAATATTGTTGACTTATGTAACATACTTTCTCCGTAAGCTTACATGCCATGTACACAAATTTCTGGTACGTGTCATCATTTATGACATACAGTGATTAAATTTAAGAAAAAATATATTTTTCAGAAGCTTCGTCGTGGAGTCTAAAATGGGTATAGAAAAGAAGGACACAGAAAAAAATACAGTGAGTGGTGTAGTAACAAAGGAAGCAAGAGATAAGAAAAAATAGAGAAAAATGAAATGGCAGAGAAAGAAGTGATAAAAAAATAAAAGTTGTGAAGGGAAAGGGTTTCGAAAGACAATGCTACCCTTTCATGTGTAATACTAATATAGCTAGCTAGTTGGCCAACACATGGATGGAACCACCACTACATCCCAATTCTGAAAGCTTTACACGCTTTTAACACTCTCTAGAAAAGTGGTGTTCTTTTCTTTCTCTGAGGACTCCTAGCTTTTCCTTTTTCCCATTCTCTTCTTAAATCCATGGACACAGCTCAGTGGGCACAGGTACACAGAACTACTTTTTCTGTTTTCTTTCCATATAATCATGAAAATCTCTGCTGGGGTTTTGATTTTCAACCATAATTTAGATTATTAAGTTTTGGGTTTGGGAAATTATTTTGATTATATTGTTAGTTCTGAGGGGGAAGTTAAGTTTCACTTTATCCCCAACTTTTTCTGATGTTCAGCTCAACCCTCCACTAAATTCAATTTTTCTTGCTGTCTTTTTAAGATCTTTCCCTCATTTATTTTTATCTGCTATTCAAAGTACTGCACCTTTCTTTTTCCCATTTTTTTTTTCCTTTCCACCGTCTGATAAAGGATAAAGGACCCAAGATAAAGTTAACATATTTGTTTGTATCATACCACTGCTGTTGTAATCCCTCAAAGTGTTGTAATAAAAACACCTTCTTTGTATACCTGTCTTGTTTGTTTCCTTCCTAGACTCTCCTTTTTTCTCCTCAAAGGTTTTGAATTCAGTTATGGGCTTATGCTCTCCTTTTGATTTTATTGTTTTGAAATTTGGATATTTTTTCAGGGTATTGGAGTGGTTAAACCTATGGAAGGTTCAAAGCCTCCTCCTATGTTGGAGAGAAGGGCGAGGCCTCAGAAGGATCAAGCTTTGAACTGCCCAAGGTGCAATTCCACCAACACCAAATTCTGCTACTACAATAACTATAGCCTCTCCCAGCCAAGGTACTTTTGCAAGACATGTAGAAGGTATTGGACTGAGGGTGGTTCTCTCAGAAACGTTCCTGTGGGTGGTGGCTCTAGAAAGAACAAGAGATCAACTCCATCAGCTCCGTCACCAGCATCAGCACCAACAAAGAAGCTTCCTGATCTCACACCACCAAATTTCCCTCAATCGGCTTCTCAGGACCCTAAGATCCACCAAGGCCAAGACCTTAACTTAGCATATCCTCCAGCCGAGGACTATAACACTGTGTCTAAGTTCATCGAGGTTCCTTACACCACGGAATTAGACAAGGGCAGTCTTCAAAACGCCACTTCCTCATCGACACCGTCTCAGTTGTCTGCCATGGAGCTTCTCAAGACTGGGATTGCTTCCTCAAGGGGTTTAAACTCCTTCATGCCAATGTATAATTCAACTGGGTTTCCTTTGCCTGACTTCAAGCCACCACCTGGCCTTAACTTCAGTCTGGAGGGCTTTGAAAATGGTTACGGGGGTCTTCAGGGAATTCAAGAGGGTCCTACTGGTGCAAGGATCTTGTTTCCTGTGGAGGATTTAAAGCAGCAGGTTCCAACCACAAATGAGTTCGATCAGCAGAATAGAAGTCAAGGGGATTCATCTGGGTATTGGAATGGCATGTTAGGTGGAGGATCGTGGTAGATATTTAGAGAAGAAGAAGAAGAAAAAAAAAAGAGAACAAGGGTTGCTGTTTTAGCCTTTTATTTTATTTTTTTTCTTTTCTTTTCTTAATGGAGGGAGTGTGGTTGTGTTTGGAGTGATCAGAACCACTAACAAAATAGGGTACATGACTACTGTTTCGCTTCTTTTTAATCCATTTCAATTTTTGGTCTTCTTTTCCTTTCCCTGGTAGTCCCACTTTGGTATTGTTGGCTTTGGTCCCAAAGAATGTGGCTGTATTTTGAAGCTACCTTGCATTTTTATTTAGGTTAAGCATCAGGAGTATTCAGTCGATAACCTACATCATTATCCATTATCAAATTACACATTTTTCATTTTTGGCTTTCCCGTGAGAATAACGCTTATTCTTGGGGGTTTTTACCAGGATCTTCGCGCACGGTTTTCTGCTACCACAGCAAGGAAAAGGATTCCCATCAATACAATTGTCAGGTACCAAGAGAGTTTGGTCGGTCATGCTCAACCTTCAGATTTAATGCTCGTATTTAACCATCACTGATTTTGGTTAATAAGGGCATTAATAAGGGCATTTAGCAACAACTTAGCACAAAATAACTAGTTTTTAGCGTTTGTATTTGTAAATCTTAAACTGGGATTTTGGATGATTTATATATAGTCCTGAAACATAAAGTGAGTTGGAATGATGGCTGTCAAATCCTTTACAGCAAAAGTGGTCTAACTCTCTCTTTTCCTCTCTCTTTTCCTTTCTTTTTGCTTGCCAACCGATCAGAAGTGTCAGATCTTAACAGTACCGCTTGGTATTTCAGATTCTTCCATCCCTTCAGCTTTCACCCAGCAACCAAATAAGATCTATAACATGACAGTAATAATACATTGGTACGATCCATGTATTAATTCTACTCAGCTAACCACCTTTTTTAATAATATATAATAATAACAAGCATACATCATGAAACTGCACTTTAAACTTCTTCACCTTTTACAAAACCTTACAACATAGTTTCTTCCATGTCTTAAACCGAATGCAACCTAGATGTTTTTAAGAACCATAGTTGGTCCCATGTTTTTCAGTAACAGTCCCCTTCTGTTGTCGATGAAGCTTCGCTGAGTCACTCTGGTCCAATTTGTGAGCATTATTATTTTATTTATACATCTCTCACATGGGCTTCTTTTCCCTTTCTTATATTGAAAGCCAAAGAAGCTGGAGCTTGACTCTGGTCTCTCCTTTTCCAGTGGAGGGTCCTACAAACATTCCTCTTGGTAACCGTGCAGGAATATTATCATCCACTGCGAGTGTCCTCCTCCATGTAGAGATAGACCTCGTTCACTTTATCCAATATAATAATAATAATATAATAATGTACCCTAGATAAATATTAATTCATGTTGCCCTTGCTTGCTTCTAACGTGTTCAGCATATGCATATCTCTTTATTATACATCAAAATTCATCAACTGTGCATTGCAGGAATCTACCTCTTTCTCATTGCCAAATTCAAGTCATATATATTATCTACTCCACAAAACATCCACTACCAATTCAACAAAACAATGTTTGTTTGTTGTTGCATTTATTTATTGATTTGGTGTTGTGTGGTATAGCAGTATCTATAGAATGTACTGTCATTCATTTGGATTAACGTCGGTACTATATATATATATATATATATATATATATATATATTTCTGTGATCCTAGAAGAAGGAGTGTACTATTTTTAGGGTTTAGTAAAAGCACGATTCATTGATCTACCAGGGAAATTCTCATTCCTTGTAACTAAATCATGTGGGGAGAATTGATGTATGTAGGCATTGGATGATGAAAAGGTAGAGGAGGAGGCTTTCAACCTAGGGCTTCTCTCCAATCATGACCTTTTTACATTAGGGTTTCTACGTACTAGACAGACCCTAACATTAAGGACAGAAAGGGTAATTATTCACGTAGCTGCGGGACCATATATGTGCAAGCAGGTGATCATTCATTTTTCTAACGAAATGATGTTAAGAAATGTACACCTTTGGGATCGTATCGAAGCAATTTGTTTGGCTACATATGGCAACATTTTTAAGTCAAGACACAAGAAAGAATGGGCTATACCTAGCTGCTTTGTATAAATTTTTATTGCAAATCCAACTAATTCCCTCCATTGACCAATATAAATAATTGTTACATCCTTCTTACCCGAATTTACTCTCTGAAAGATGCTGCTCAAGATATATGTACATAGCTTTGGCCAGGTTTCTGATGTTACTTCATACATATCAACATTTCTAGCTACCTTATTATAGCTTTCTAGATTGCTATAACCATCGTGTTTATGACCTGTGATCAGCCTGTGACTTAAGAACACATTTTAGATATTTCTCGAATGCTTCCTTTAATAGTTGGTATTCTCAGTTTCATGGTTCATTTATTCAACCATTATTGTTTTAAATAAATGTAGTGCATGTTTAGTGTGGAACACGGTGGATTCAACTCCTTCTCATCTTTTTTAAGCAACATGGGTTACTTCTGCGACGATTTCAACATGATTTTATCTGGCGAAATGAAAAATACAGTAAACTTACATGTGAGGTGTCTTGAATTAAGGAAACGTACATGCTAATAAGAGGACTGAATATTTTTCATGTTGGCTAAAACTGAATAAAATATCAAATTCGTTTAAAACTTGAATGAATAACATGAAATTTTGAGCATATTCATAGCAGAAGTTTGAATTTTGAAGCAGCAGTGACCCACAGATATTTTCAAATTTCGGTGGTAGCACTGAGAAGATCAGGAGATGGAATCTGAAAATTCTGCGCACTGAGTCTCCATTTTGGACTAATATGCCAAAGGTTTACAAGGACAAGTCATGAGTTGTAATTAACTTTAGTTTGTCCACCAAAGGTGAAATCCTCCTTAAACTTGCCTTGTCAACTATTCAAATGAGTACGTAACATTGTTCTCATATTCGTATCCACACATTTGGGTTTCTTTATTGATTTGTGGATAAACATTGTCTATTTAATATAGAATTATTTTTTTATCATTAATAAAAATTCTGAAAATGAAATGTTATGTTTTAATTAATAGATATTCTTTGTTTAAATTTATGATTTTATTATGCCTATAATGGATTGGATTGTATGACCCAATGCGTGAATAATCGTTGTTGTTAGATATAGAGAAACTCTCTCCTTTTATTGCTCGTGATTCCATTTGAATTCGTTTATTCTTTATGTATCTAACACACAATATTAGTATAATAGCACTACTAATAGTTAAGATATTAAGCATGAAGAGAACAGTCTGAAAAATACAGTTATATATACAGAGAAAGAAAGTGGGACTACGACTCTGATTGTCCACTAGTAGTTTCTTTGTTGACAATTACTTGCTTACATATAGGATACCATCATAACAAATGGACAAACTACAAATCAAATAAAAAACAACGTAAGGTAGTGTAATTATAACCATTCATATAAACAATAATCATAATATGAATTCAAATTCCACCAATTTAATTATCAAGTACTTTTAAAAATTATCAAATGTTTACAAAAGCATACTCGTATTGACAGAAAAAATAACCATAACCCTCATAGTTTAAAAAAATTATACCTTTGACTATGTGTATTGAGTAGACTTAAAAATTATGCATTTATCATACCATTTCTAAGAAGCACACTCTTAGATAACTAATACCAATGCCTCATCGATTATGACTCGATAAATTCTTTATACCTTTGTAGTTTGATCTTATTTTATATTGAAATACCATACTCTAGGAACTTTTCTCTATTTGCAACTAAATATATTTATTTATATAAGTTGGATATTAAGAGAATCTAAATAATCCCATTAAATCACAATTTAATTAGTCTTAGATCAAAACTCGAGGTAGAACTTCCTCTTTAGAAGTCACTACACTCTCATCTTCCACACAATTTATCACAATTGTTTTTGAAAATCATGAGAAGAGAATGTCTATATCCTAAACTACATTTTTTTCCCTTTGTTGTATATTTTGATACCACTCTTCCTTATACCTCACAAAAATAAACTTTTATCTTAATTATAAAAAAGTGACTATAACATATATTTCTTGATGATCATGATAGAAGTAATCTTTTATGTTATATATTATGGAAGGAATAACATTATAATTCAAACCCAACCAAGGTTGACAACTTAATCTCATATATTTGACAACTTAA